ATATATATATATATATATATATATATATATACTTGCCTCTGTTCTGATGATTGTGCAAGCGGCCGTAGAGGCTTCCGTTAGTCAAGGGGAACTTGAGCCCGTGGTTCAGGTTCAACTGCAGCTTGTACTCGGCGTCATGCTCGAAGTGGCGAAACTTGCCGTCGATGCCGCCTGCAAAAGCGCGTAACAAGGTGAGATTTTTTTTTTTTTTTTTTGTGAAATCGTCTAGAAACAGGGCCGCCCCTCCCCCTCCCACCGTTGTGAAAATATTCGCTCACTTCGCGATCTATTAGCAAACCGCGAAATGAAAACGCACCGGTGAAAACCCGGGCTTCGTTGCCTTCTCGCCAAAAACCATTTCACAGGCATATATGTGCACACCATGGCAAAGAAATCATTTAATTGTATTATATTAATTGTATTGTGTTTAATTTGTATTATATTTGTATTATATTTAGTTGTATTGTATTATACTGTGTTGTATCAATTATTGTATTTAATTGTATTATAAATCAGACAATAATGAAAAAATTTTTAATTAATGAATATTAGTAACGATTAATTAATAATTATTAGTCTATTTATAATCTATTCTATTATTAATCTATTTATATCTATTTATAATTATTAATTTATTTATAATCTATTATCAATCTAATTATAATTAACCTATTTATAATACATCTAATGCAATGTAATATTTTAAAATCTAATTTATAGAAGGAAAAGACTAAATTTATATTCTGTGCTCGCTACATTGAATAATATTATACTCTGATTATTAAAATCACATTCTAAGATTGTACCCTCTGTGTTTTCATTTTATCACGTTATCGCGCGTAAAAAGAAAGAGAAAGAAAAGTATCTATATACGCGTATAAGAAGCCAAGGAAGCGTCGTTGACGAGAAGAATTGTTGTTCCTTCGTTTCACAATCACAAGAATATCGGAACGATCGATCGTCGAAAGATGGTTGGAGTGTTGTTTTATAGAGGGAGAGAGGGAGGAATGAAAATACGAATAAACGGCGCGAGTAAGAGAGAAATTAACCGCGGGGTATGCGGTTAGCAGGATTGCGAGATGATCGACTGTCGCGTAACTGATGTTTTTCCATGACGATTACGCGTTCGATGCAACTTGGTTCTCACGCGTGCACTCTGGGTCAACTGCGTTGCACTTTTTCATCCTGCAATCGGTACCATTTCCTCGAGGAAATATCGTCGAATCTAATAATCGTATTCTAACGCGGGATCATAAGTAATTTGCAAGTAAGTCTATAGGCATTAGGTCATCCTATGAGTATTACATTTGTCAATTTTCACACAGCAGAAAATAGGAAATAGAAATCGATTGACGATGAATTTTTACGTTTTTTAATATTAGGTATTTTTTCTTTTTTTTTTATATATTAAATTATTTTCATTGTTTTAGACATTAGACTCTCAGAAAGATTGCCA